AAATCCACATTTGATATTTTTATATAAAAATAATTTTTAATTTTTTAAAAATCCAAGTTTGATATTTTTATATAAAAATAATTTTTTAAAAAATCCACGTTTGATATTTTTATATAAAAATAATTTTTTAAAAAATCCACGTTTGATATTTTTTCATATAAAAATAATTTTTAAAAAATCCACGTTTGATATTTTTATATAAAAATAATTGTTAAAAAATCCACGTTTGATATTTTTATATAAAAATAATTGTTAAAAAATCCACGTTTGATATTTTTATATAAAAATAATTGTTAAAAAATCCACGTTTGATATTTTTATATAAAAATAATTGTTAAAAAATCCACGTTTATATTTTTATATAAAAATAATTTTTAAAAAATCCACGTTTGATATTTTTATATAAAAATAATTTTTAAAAAATCCACGTTTGATATTTTTATATAAAAATAATTTTTAAAAACTCCACGTTTGATATTGTTATATAAAAATAATTGTTAAAAAATCCACGTTTGATATTGTTATATAAAAATAATTGTTAAAAAATCCACGTTTGATATTTTTATATAAAAATAATTGTTAAAAAATCCACGTTTATATTTTTATATAAAAATAATTTTTAAAAAATCCACGTTTGATATTGTTATATAAAAATAATTGTTAAAAAATCCACGTTTGATATTTTTATATAAAAATAATTGTTAAAAAATCCACGTTTATATTTTTATATAAAAATAATTTTTAAAAAATCCCCGTTTGATATTTTTATATAAAAATAATTGTTAAAAAATCTACGTTTGATATTTTTATATAAAAATAATTGTTAAAAAATCCACGTTTGATATTTTTATATAAAAATAATTTTTTAAAAAATCCACGTTTGAATTTTTATATAAAAATAATTTTTAAAAAATCCACGTTTGATATTTTTATATAAAAATAATTTTTAAAAAATCCACGTTTGATATTTTTATATAAAAATAATTTTTAAGTTTTAAAAAATCCACATTTGATATTTTTATATAAAAATAATTTTTAATTTTTTAAAAATCCACATAATTTTTAAAAAATCCACATAATTTTTAAAAAATCCACATAATTTTTAAAAAATCCACATTTGATATTTTTATATAAAAATAATTTTTAATTTTTTAAAAATCCACATTTAATATTTTTATATAAAAATAATTGTTAAAAAATCCACGTTTGATATTTTTATATAAAAATAATTTTTAAAAAATCCACGTTTGATATTTTTATATAAAAATAATTTGTAAAACAATACACGTTTGATATTTTTACATAAAAATAATTTTTAAAAAATCTACGTTTGATATTTTTATATAAAAATAATTTTTAAAAAAATCCACATTTGATATTTTTATATAAAAATAATTTTAAAAAAATCCACGTTTGTTATTTTTATATAAAAATAACTTTTAAAAATTTGATATTTTTTTAAAAAAATAATTTTTAAAAAATATTTCAATTTAAAAATCAGCATTCAATTCAATTTAGATATTTATATCTGATTTCTGTTTATTTTTGGCTTGCCAAAAAATATTAAACAAAAAACAAATGGTGAACAAACCCCCGAAAATGTGTGTAGCGTTGTATGACGTCGCGGACAACGGAAGTGATAATATTCGCACCTCTCCTCCCTCTTTGCCAAAGGCAAACGATAATTTTGAATGGGAATTCAAAAAAAGTCAAGTCGAAGAACGTAATTTTCTTAAAAAAGCAGAGTGACGATCATAATTATCATTAAGCCCCACCACGCCCGTTCCCCTTGCCTTTCCATGCCCCCCGAAACGAGTTAAAATTTCATGATCGATCGTTTAATTCTCTTCTCTGGTACCAGCAACAACAACAACAACAAATACATTATTTACCAAGTCATTGAAATATCAGCTGCAGTCAGTCAGTCATTCATTCTTTCCCTGACAGATGTTTCGTCGTCGTTCATTTATTGATATCCAATGTCGTTGCATTCGTTTAATGGTATTGCGGGGGAGTTGGGGAGGGTGGTCAGTTGTTGGACAAGCATGAATATTAAGAGACCCGATACAAAACCGCAATTAAAATAACTGCGAATTATCTGTAGAAAAGTTATGGAAAAAAAGAAACGTGGTTCGGCGGTTCGGTAGTTGCCTGGCTCGTTGACTTGCTGACTGACTGTCCGACAGCTGATATGGAAATATCAATTTTCGATCAGCCACACTTAAAGTGTAATAAACAATTGAAATTCACTTTGCCACTCTTTTCTATTTGGGGTTGGGGAAAAATGTGGCGCAGATATTTTAAAAAATATTTTTCGTTAGATTTATTATTTTATATATTTTTCCCTAATTTATTAGACGTCGATTTTTTAAAAAATATTTTTCCCTAATTTATTATGCGTGAATTTTTTAAAATGTATGTTTTTCGTTAATTTATCAGGCGTGGATTTTTTAAAAAAAAAAATTTTCGTTAATTTATTAGGCGTGGATTTTTTAAAAAATATTTTTTCGCTAATTTATTAGGCGTGGATTTTTTAAAAAATATTTTTCGTTAGATTTATTAGGCGTGGATTTTTTAAAAAATATTTTTTCGTTAGATTTTTTAGGCATGGATTTTTTAAAAAATATTTTTTGTAAGATTTTTTAGGTATGGATTTTTTAAAAAATATTTTTTGTAAGATTATTTAGACGTGGATTTTGTAAAAAATATTTTTTGTAAGATTATTTAGACGTGGATTTTGTAAAAAATATTTTTTGTAAGATTATTTAGACGTGGATTTTGTAAAAAATATTTTTCCGCTAATTTATTAGGCGTGGATTTTTTAAAAAATATTTTTTCGCCAATTTATTGGGCGTGGATTTTTTTTAAAATATTTTTTCGCCAATTTATTGGGCGTGGATTTTTTTAAAAAATATTTTTCCGCTAATTTATTAGGCGTGGATTTTTTAAAAAATATTTTTCCGCTAATATTTTAGGCGTGGATTTTTTAAAAAATATTTTTCCGCTTATATTTTAGGCCTGGATTTTTTAAAAAAAATTTTTCCGCTTATATTTTAGGCCTGGATTTTTTAAAAATTTTTTTTCCGCTAATATATTAGTCGTGGATTTTTTAAAAAAATATTTTTCCGCTTACATATTAGGCGTGGATTTTTTAAAAAATATTTTTCCGCAAACATATTAGGCGTGGATTTTTTAAAAAATATTTTTCCGCTAATATATTAGGCGTGGATTTTTAAAAAAATATTTTTTCGCTAATTTATTAGGCGTGGATTTTTTAAAACATATTTTTCCGCTAACATATTAGGCGTGGATTTTTTAAAAAATATTTTTCCGCAAACATATTAGGCGTGGATTTTTTAAAAAATATTTTTCCGCTAATATATTAGGCGTGGATTTTTAAAAAAATATTTTTTCGCTAATTTATTAGGCGTGGACTTTTTAAAAAATATTTTTTCGCTAATTTATTAGGCGTGTACTTTTTAAAAAAAATATTTTTTCTTAGATTTTTTAGACGTGTACTTTTTAAAAAAATATTTTTTCTTAGATTTATTAGGCGTGGACTTTTTAAAAAATATTTTTTCTTAGATTTTTTAGACGTGTACTTTTTAAAAAAATATTTTTTCTTAGATTTATTAGACGTGGACTTTTCAAAAAATATTTTTTTTCGCTAATTTATTAGGCGTGGATTTTTTAAAAAATATTTTTTCTTAGATTTATTAGACGTGGACTTTTCAAAAAATATTTTTTTTCGCTAATTTATTAGGCGTGGATTTTTTAAAAAATATTTTTTCTTAGATTTTTTAGACGTGTACTTTTTAAAAAAATATTTTTTCTTAGTTTTTATTAAGCGTGGATTTATTTTTTCGTTAGATTTATTAGGCGTGGATTTTTTAAAAAATATTTTTCTTAGTTTTTATTAAGCGTGGATTTTTTAAAAAATATTTTTTCGTTAGATTTATTAGGCGTGGATTTTTTAAAAAATATTTTTTCTTAGATTTTTTAGACGTGTACTTTTTAAAAAAATATTTTTTCTTAGTTTTTATTAAGCGTGGATTTATTTTTTCGTTAGATTTATTAGGCGTGGATTTTTTAAAAAATATTTTTTCTTAGTTTTTATTAAGCGTGGATTTTTTAAAAAATATTTTTTCGTTAGATTTATTAGGCGTGGATTTTTTAAAAAATATTTTTTCGTTAGATTTATTAGGCGTGGATTTTTTAAAAAATATTTTTTCGTTGTTTCTTTAAAATTTTTTTTTTCTTAATTTTTATTGGGCGTGGATTTTTTAAAAAATATTTTTTCTTAGTTTTTATTGGGCGTCGATTTTTTAAAAAATATTTTTCTTAGTTTTTATTGGGCGTGGATTTTTTAAAAAATATTTTTTCTTAGTTTTTATGGATTTTTTTAAGAAATAATTTTTATAAGATTTATTGTTTAATTCATTTTTTCTTATTTAAAAGAGACGTGATTTGTAATAATATTATTATTACGTCATTTTAATATATAATTTTTTTTCTTTGTTATTTTTGGAAATGATCAAATGTTGAAATTTTGCTTTTTATGGTTGATTTTCGCACGTTTTGGGTGTTAGTTTTACAAACGTAACATTGTTTGGCTGTCTGACTGTTGGACGGACTGTGTGTCTGTCCGAACATATAATTGTGTTGATGAACAATCATTGAATTTATAATCGAAATGAAGTTTTAATTTTTTTTATTGATTTGAAATAAATTTAATTTTTTATGGTTTTCATTATGGATGTAGATGTTGTTGTTGCTATCGTTAATTCTATATGAGCTGAATTTATATTTTCCTGGTTTTGGGACCCTAATTTATAAATTAACAATTCTTGTTGAGGGTTAGCAAGAGAATTTCTACTATTTCTGCATGTACATAATTCAGGAAATCCAAAAATAAATTTTAATTAATTTTTTTTAATTTCTTTATTTTAATTAATTTTAAATTAAAAATTAAATTTTAATTTTCATTTTTTTCATTCCAGGACCAATGTGTTGGAACAGGAGATGCGTAACCCCTATAGTATTTGCAATGTCGACTGCCTGCTAGACACGGTGACGGCTCTGGTGAACGACTGTGATCATGAGTCATTGAAACGCCTGAAAAATATAGAACAGTATGCAGCGAAATGTAAGTAAACAAGCGACCTGAGGAATGTATTCGTTATCAATTTAATTACGAATGACAACACAACACATTATCTGGCAACTAGAAATACCTTAGAGTGGTCCCCTTGAAAAATGTTTTAGAAAATTCCAAAAAAAGAAACAATATATTATTTAAAAATTGACGATTATTGTCCTTATGGTTCATCGAATATTAGCCTTAATGTCCTTGAAAAAATGTTCTTGAAAATATATGAACATCTTGAAAAAATATTCTTTAAAAATCCAATAATATGATCCCTGAAAAAAGAATATTATCTTTTTGTTCCTTGAAAAATCGTCGTATATTGCCTTTTTTTATTCTTAAAAAATCCTCGAATATTGTCGTTTTGATCTTTGAAAAATCGTCGAATATTGCTTTTTTGATCCTTGAAAAATGTTCTTATCTTTAAAAATCCAGAAATATTGTCCGTATGCCCTTCTCTAAAAAATCCACGAATACTGTCCTTAGGATCCTTCTTTAAAAATCCACGAATACTGTCCTTAGGATCCTTCTTTAAAAATCCACGAATACTGTCCTTGGGATCCTTCTTTAAAAATCCACGAATATTGTCCTTAGGATCCTTCTTTAAAAATCCACGAATATTGTCCTTAGGATCCTTCTTACGATCCTTTATTAAAAATCCAGAAATATTGTCCGTATGACCCTTCTTTAAAATCCACGAATATTGTCCTTAGGATCATTCTTACGATCCTTCATTAAAAATCCAGAAATATTGTCCGTATGACCCTTCTTTAAAAATCCAGGAATATTGTCCTTACGATCCTTCTTTAAAAATCCGCGAATATTGTCCTTAGGATCCTTATTTAAAAATCCACGAATATTGTCCCAAGGATCCTTCTTACGATCCATCTTTAAAAATCCACGAATATTGTCCTTAGGATCCTTCTTAAAAATATTCTCTAAAAATCCACGAATATTGTCCTGATCCTTGAAAAAATATTCTTTAAAAATCCACGAATATTGTCCTTTGGATCCTTCTTAAAAATATTCTCTAAAAATCCACGAATATTGTCCTGATCCTTGAAAAAATATTCTTTAAAAATCCACGAATATTGTCCTTAGGATCCTTCTTAAGATCCTTGTTTAAAAATCCACGAATATTGTCCTTAGGATCCTTCTTAAGATCCTTGTTTAAAAATCCACGAATATTGTCCTTTGGATCCTTCTTAAGATCCTTGTTTAAAAATCCACGAATATTGTCCTTAGGATTCTTCTTACGATCCTTCTTCAAAAATCCATGAATATTATCCTTGCGATTCTTCTTTAAAAATCCACGAACATTGTCCTTGTGATCCTTCTTTAAAAATCCACGAACATTGTCCTTGCGATCCTTCTTTAAAAATCCACGAATATTGTCCTTGTGATCCTTCTTTAAAAATCCATGATCCTTGAAAAAATATTCTTTAAAAATCCACGAACATTGTCCTTGCGATCCTTCTTTAAAAATCCACGAATATTGTCCTTGTGATCCTTCTTTAAAAATCCATTATCCTTGAAAAAATATTCTGATCCTTGAAAAAATATTCTTTAAAAATCCACGAATATTGTCCTGATCCTTGAAAAAATATTCTTTAAAAATCCACGAATATTGTCCTGATCCTTGAAAAAATATTCTTTAAAAATCCACGGATATTGTCCTGAACCTTGAAAAAATATTCTTTAAAAATCCACGAATATTGTCCTGAACCTTGAAAAAATATTCTTTAAAAATCCACGAATATTGTCCTGAACCTTGAATAAATATTCTTTAAAAATCCACGAATATTGTCCTGATCCTTGAAAAAATATTCTTTAAAAATCCACGAATATTGTCCTGAACCTTGAATAAATATTCTTTAAAAATCCACGAATATTGTCCTGATCCTTGAAAAAATATTCTTTAAAAATCCACGAATATTGCCCTTATGGTCCTTGAAAAAATATTCTTTAAAAATCCACGAATATTGTCCTGATCCTTAAAAAAAATATTCTTTAAAAATCCACGAATATTGTCCTGATCCTTGAAAAAATATTCTTTAAAAATACACGAATATTGTCCTGATCCTTGAAAAAATATTCTTTAAAAATCCACGAATATTGTCCTGATCCTTGGAAAGATATTCTTTAAAAATCCACGAATATTGTCCTGATCCTTGAAAAGATATTCTTTAAAAATCCACGAATATTGTCCTGATCCTTGAAAAAATATTCTTTAAAAATCCACGAATATTGCCCTTATGGTCCTTGAAAAAATATTCTTTAAAAATCCACGAATATTGTCCTGATCCTTGAAAAAATATTCTTTAAAAATCCACGAATATTGTCCTGATCCTTGAAAAAATATTCTTTAAAAATCCACGAATATTGTCCTGATCCTTGAAAAAATATTCTTTAAAAATCCACGAATATTGTCCTGATCCTTGAAAAAATATTCTTTAAAAATCCACGAATATTGTCCTGATCCTTGAAAAAATATTCTTTAAAAATCCACGAATATTGTCCTGATCCTTGAAAAAATATTCTTTAAAAATCCACGAATATTGTCCTGATCCTTGAAAAAATATTCTTTAAAAATCCACGAATATTGTCCTGATCCTTGAAAAAATATTCTTTAAAAATCCACGAATATTGTCCTGATCCTTGAAAAAATATTCTTTAAAAATCCACGAATATTGTCCTGATCCTTGAAAAAATATTCTTTAAAAATCCACGAATGTTGTCCTTATGGTCCTTGAAAAAACATTCTTTAAAAATCCACGAATATTGTCCTGATCCTTGAAACAATATTCTTTAAAAATCCACGAATATTGTCCTGATCCTTGAAACAATATTATTTAAAAATGCACGAATATTGTCCTGATCCTTGAAAAAATATTCTTCAAAAATCCACGAATATTGTCCTGATCCTTGAAAAAATATTCTTTAAAAATCCACGAATATTGTCCTTATGGTCCTTAAAAATATTCTTTAAAAATCCAGGAATATTGTCCTGATCCTTGAAAAAATATTCATTAAAAATCCACGAAATTTTGTCCTGATCCTTGAATAAATATTCTTTAAAAATCCACGAATAATGTCCTGATCCTTGAAAAAATATTCTCTAAAAATCCAAAAATATTGTCCTGATCCTTGAAAAGATATTCTTTAAAAATCCACAAATATTGTCCTGATCATTGAAAAGATATTCTTTAAAAATCCACGAATATTGTCCTGATCCTTGAAAAAATATTCTTTAAAAATCCACGAATATTGTCCTGATCCTTGAAAAAATATTCTTTAAAAATCCAGGAATATTGTCCTGATCCTTGAAAAAATATTCTTTAAAAATCCACGAATATTGTCCTGATCCTTGAAAAGATATTCTTTAAAAATCCACAAATATTGTCCTGATCATTGAAAAGATATTCTTTAAAAATCCACGAATATTGTCCTGATCCTTGAAAAAATATTCTTTAAAAATCCACGAATATTGTCCTGATCCTTGAAAAAATATTCTTTAAAAATCCAGGAATATTGTCCTGATCCTTGAAAAAATATTCTTTAAAAATCCACGAATATTGTCCTTATGGTCCTTGGAAAAATATTCTTTAAAAATCCACGAATATTGTACTTATGGTCCTTGGAAAAATATTCTTTAAAAATCCACGAATATTGTCCTGATCCTCAAAAAAATATTCTTTAAAAATCCACAAATATTGTCCTTATGGTCCTTGAAAAAATATTCTTTAAAAATCCACGAATATTGTCCTGATCCTTAAAAAAATATTCTTTAAAAATCCACGAATATTGTCCTTATGGTCCTTAAAAAATATTCTTTAAAAAACCACGAATATTGTCCTGATCCTTAAAAAATATTCTTTAAAAATCCACGAATATTGTCCTTATGGTCCTTGAAAAAATATTCTTTAAAAATCCACGAATATTGTCCTGATCCTTGAAAAAATATTCTTTAAAAATCCACGAATATTGTCCTGATCCTTGAAAAAATATTCTTTAAAAATCCACGAATATCGTCCTGATCCTTGAAAAAATATTCTTTAAAAATCCGCGAATATTGTCTTGATCCTTGAAAAAATATTCTTTAAAAATCCACGAATTTTGTCCTGATCCTTGAAAAAATATTCTTTAAAAATCCACGAATATTGTCCTGATTCTTGAAAAAATATTCGTTAAAAATCCACGAACATAGTCCTGATTCTTGAAAAAAAGTGTTCTTTAAAAATCCACGAATATTGTCCTGATCCTTGAAAAAATATTCTTTAAAAATCCACGAATATTGTCCTTATGGTCCTTGACAAAATATTCTTTGAAAAACCACGACTATTGTCCTTGTAGTCCTTGAAAAATATTCTTAAAAAATCCCCACATATTGTCCTTTAGGTCCTTATTAAATGGAATTTTTTTAACGACCTTTAATTTTGGTTTTTTTCTTTTTTTCCTTCCAGACAAACCGCTTGCCCAACAGATCTGCCAGCTGCGCATGAATGTCGATGATTTCGATTTTATCAAAATCATTGGTGCCGGTGCCTTTGGCGAAGTTCAGTTGGTGCGACATAAATCCTCCCGCCAGGTGTATGCCATGAAACGTTTATCGAAATTCGAAATGATGAAACGACCCGATTCCGCCTTCTTTTGGGAGGAACGTCACATTATGGCCCACGCGAATTCCGAATGGATTGTCCAGCTGCATTTTGCCTTTCAGGACGCCAAATATTTGTATATGGTGATGGATTACATGCCCGGTGGGGATATTGTATCGCTGATGTCAATGTATGAGATACCCGAGAAATGGGCCATATTCTACACCATGGAAGTGGTGCTGGCCCTGGACACCATACACAATATGGGCTTTGTACATCGCGATGTGAAACCGGATAATATGCTGTTGGATTGCCATGGCCACTTGAAGTTGGCCGATTTTGGTACGTGTATGCGCATGGGACCCAACGGCTTGGTGGTGTCCAGCAATGCGGTGGGTACTCCGGATTATATTAGTCCCGAAGTGCTGCAGAGTCAGGGTGTGGACAATGAATATGGCCGTGAGTGTGATTGGTGGTCGGTGGGTATTTTCCTTTACGAAATGTTGGTGGGTGATACACCCTTCTATGCGGATTCCTTGGTTGGCACCTATGGCAAGATTATGGATCACAAGAATTCGTTGAATTTCCCCGCCGAAGTGGAGATCAGTGAAAATGCCAAGAGCCTGATACGGGCATTTTTGACAGATCGTACCCAGCGTTTGGGCCGCCGAGGTATCGATGAAATCAAGGAACATCCATTCTTCCAAAACGACACCTGGAGTTTTGATAACATACGCGAAAGTGTCCCTCCCGTAATACCTGAACTGTCTTCCGACGATGACACCCGAAATTTTGAGGATATCGAACGAGATGAGACGCCTGAGGAAGTGTTTCCTGTGCCGAAAAATTTCGATGGCAATCATTTGCCATTCATTGGCTTTACCTACACCGGAGATTATCAGCTGCTGTCGAACAATGACACCGTCGATGCCAAGGAGAACAACATGAATTCCGTCAACCACAATCACCGCCACCGGCCCTCAAATTCCAATGAGATCAAGAGATTAGAGGCTTTGCTCGAAAGGGAGCGTAACCATGTGGAGACATTGGAGAAACAGGACAAATCCCTGAGACAACAATTGGAATTGATTAGCCAAAGGGAGAGCGAATTGCAGGCCATGGCCTCGGATTATGAAAAGAATTTGGCCATAACCCAGCACAACTACAAAATGACCCTGCAAAAGTTTGAACAGGAAATTGAGTTGCGTAAAAAGACCGAGATACTCCTGGCCGAGACCCAAAAGAATTTGGACAATGAACAGAAGATTCGAACCCGGGAGATGAACAACAATCAGCATCACAATGAGAAAATTCTGACGCTGGAAAAACAGCTGAAGGAAATGGAAGAGAATTTCAAAAACGAAACAGAAAATTCGCAAAAACTTAAAAAACAGGCAGCGGAATTGGGTCTGGCCAAACAGGAACTGGAGGCGAAAATTGCCCAGTTGCAGCTGATGATCACAAGCCTGCAGGGCCAAAAGGAAACACTGCAGCAGGAAGTGGCTGAGCTGCAGGCCCAACTGGCCCAGGAAAAGAATTTGCGCTCCCAGCTAAAGGAACTGCAAAAAGAAACCGAAAATAAACTGCAATCCATTGCCAATGACTTGGAACGGGCAATTTCCCGGGAACAACAGGCCTACGAAGACAATCGCATACTCAATGAGAAAATCTCCGATCTGGAAAAGGCCCATGCGGGCTTGGATTTTGAACTAAAGGCAGCCCAGGGTCGTTATCAGCAAGAGGTAAAGGCCCATCAGGAAACCGAAAAATCTCGCATGCTCAGTCGCGAGGAAGCCAATCTCCAGGAGGTCAAGGCCCTGCAGACAAAGCTAAATGAAGAGAAATCGGCCCGCATTAAATCCGATCAGAATTCCCAAGAAAAAGAAAGACAACTGTCCATGCTCTCTGTCGACTATCGGCAAATCCAACAGCGTCTACAAAAGCTTGAGGGAGAATGCCGACAAGAAGCCGAGAAGGTATCCGTCCTACAATCCCAACTAGATCAAGAATATTCCAAGAAAAACTCCCTTCTCTCCGATCTAAGTCTGAAAAGTTCCGAGGTGGCCCATCTCAAGTCGCGCGAAAACCAACTGCAAAAGGAGCTCAGCGCCCTGCGCGAAAACAAACGCAAATACGAAGAAGACATGGCCCTGCTAAAAATCTCGCTAAACAAGGAGATCCTGCAAAAGAAGGAGCTCCAAGATCAATTGGATGCCGAACAAATTTTCTCCCGCCTCTACAAAGCCCAGGCCAATGAACATCGCGAAGAGATCGAGGAACGTTGTCGTGAAATACAAGATCTGAAAGAGGAACGTGTCTCGCTCAAACATCAAGTACAAGTGGCAGTGGCTCGGGCCGATTCCGAAGCCCTAGCCCGTTCCATTGCCGAAGAGACGGTGGCCGATTTGGAAAAAGAAAAGACCATCAAAGAATTGGAACTAAAAGATTTCATGACCAAACATCGCAATGAAATAGCTGCCAAGGATTCATTGCTAACGGCGGCCAAGGAAACCGAGGCGGACTATGTGAAGAAACTCAATGCAAAGAATTCGGAAATGGATGAGTTGCAGCAACAGAACAAGAAATTGCAGGAAGAAGTTGTCCAGGTGAAGACGACGAAAGAGGAAGAAATTGCCAAACTCAAGGACAAGTGGAAGAATGAAATGTTGCTGAAACAGGTGGCCGTTAATAAATTGGCCGAGGTTATGAATCGACGAGATACCGATTCGAAACGTAAGTATTTGTTATGTCTTTTTTTTTGCCATTTGTTGGATCTCACTTTTAGTTTCCCTTCAGGTGAGGTCTATGGAGACTTCCTCCTGGATCTGGTCTTATGATCGTCTATGGAGATTCGCTTCTCTATGGAGAATTCCTCCTGGTCGCTATATAGACTTGCTCGTGGTCGCCTATGGAGACTCCCTCCTGGTCGCTATATAGACTTGCTCGTGGTCGCCTATGGAGACTCCCTAATGGTTGTCTATGGAGACTCGCTCCTGGTCCTCTATGGAGACTCCTTCTTGGTCGTCTATTAAGACTCTCTTCTGGTCCTCTATGGAGTCTCCCTCCTGGCCGTCTTTAGAGACTCCTATCTAGTTCTCTTGGTCGTCTATGGAGACTCCCTCCCGGTCGTCTATCGAGACTCTCTTTTGGTCGTCAATGGATACTTTCTTCTGGTCGTCTATAAAGACGTTCTTCTGGTGGTCTATGGATTTCCAGGGAGACTCTCTTTTGGTTGTCTATCGAGTCTATGGGTACGGCCTTCTGGTCGCCTATGTAGACTCACTTCTGGTCACCTATAGGACCTCCCTTCTGCTGGCCTATAGAGGCTCCCTTCTGCTCGTCTATAGAGGCTCCCTTCTGCTCGTCTATAGAGACTCCCATCTACTCGTCTATAGAGGAGACTCCCAGCTGCTCGTCTATAGGGGAGACTCCCAGCTGCTCGTCTATGGAGGAGACTCCCAGCTGCTCGTCTATAGAGGAGACTCCCAGCTGCTCGTCTATAGAGGAGACTCCCAGCTGCTCGTCTATAGAGGAGACTCCCAGCTGCTCGTCTATAGAGGAGACTCCCAGCTGCTCGTCTATAGAGGAGACTCCCAGCTGCTCGTCTATAGAGGAGACTCCCAGCTGCTCGTCTATAGAGGAGACTCCCAGCTGCTCGTCTATAGAGGAGACTCCCAGCTGCTCGTCTATAGAGGAGACTCCCAGCTGCTCGTCTATAGAGGAGACTCCCAGCTGCTCGTCTATAGAGGAGACTCCCAGCTGCTCGTCTATAGAGGAGACTCCCAGCTGCTCGTCTATAGAGGAGACTCCCAGCTGCTCGTCTATAGAGGAGACTCCCAGCTGCTCGTCTATAGAGGAGACTCCCAGCTGCTCGTCTATAGAGGAGACTCCCAGCTGCTTGTCTATAGAGGAGACTCCCAGCTGCTCGTCTATAGAGGAGGCTCCCAGCTGCTTGTCTATAGAGGAGACTCCCAGCTGCTTGTCTATAGAGGAGAGGCTCCCAGCTGCTCGTCTATAGGGGAGACTCTATAGGGACTCCTCTCTGGCCCTCTCGTCTATAAAGACTCGCTTCTGGTCGTCATTACAGACTCTCTTCTCGTCGTCTTTAGAGATTCTTTTCTCGTCGTCTATAGAGACTTCCTTCTGGTAGTTAATAAGGACTCATTTAGGGGTTCTCTAAAGGGACTGCTCTCGGATCGTCTGCAGGGAGTCTCTTCTTCTCCCTTCTGGTCGTCTATAGAGACTCTCTTCTAGTCGTCCATAGAAACTCCTCTCAGATCGTCTACAGGGAGTCTCTTCTTCTCCCTTCTGGTCGTCTCTAGAGACTCTCTTCTAGTCGTCCATAGAGACTCCTCTCGGATCGTCTGCAGGGACTTCCTTCTTCTCCCTTCTGGTGGTCTATAGATACTCTAGTCGTCCATAGAGACTGGTCGTCAATAACTTTTTTTCTGGTTGTCTGCATCCCTTCTGATGGTTTAAAAAAATCCTTCTGTTCGTCAGAGAGACCCACTTTTTGTCCTCTAGGAAATTTTATTTGTCGTATCGAAATTTTAAGGTTCAACATCTAATTTCCCTCTATCTCTCTTTCTTCCCCCACAGAACAAAAAGGCAAAGCCCGCTCATCGGCTGAGTTGCGTAAGAAGGAAAAGGAAATGCGTCGCCTACAGCAGGAAATGCAACAGGAGCGTGATAAATACAGTCAATTGTTACTTAAATATCAAGATCTGCTTAGTCAGGCCGTTGAAGACAGTCATGTAAGTATTCGTATCGTATCGAAACATTTTTGTTTTCAGAATTTCGTATTAAAATCATATCTCTCCTCCTCCTTGCAGATTAAACAAAAACTCCAAATGGAAATCGATTGCAAGGCAACGGAAATTGAAAAATTACAATCGAAACTTAATGAAACAGCATCCTTGTCATCTGCCGACAATGATCCCGAAGATAATCAGGTGAGGGCTTCATTTTTTTTAAAAAACTCAACTAACAAAAATAACATCATTCAAATTAACCAAAATCACTTTTCTCTCTTCTCTTTTTTTTTCTACAACTTCTCCTGCTACATCAAACAATCATGCTTCAACTGACCGCATCATAATTTGGCCAACACCTTTTAACCTGTCAAATTTGTTCCCATCATAATTTGCTTTGTCAATAATCTGTCATTCGCCCAAAATCCATTTAATTTCCGTTCCGTTTTGGGTTCGCATAGAATTCATCTCTGCTTTCACTTACACAGGACTCGGTATTTGAGGGCTGGCTGAGTGTGCCCAATAAACAGAATATACGGCGCCACGGCTGGAAGCGTCAATTTGTTGTGGTATCATCGCGCAAAATCATATTCTATAATTCGGAAATCGACAAACAGAATACCATTGATCCTGTGCTAATATTAGATTTAAGGTAAGTTTTTCAAAAGTGTTATTTGTAATCATAAGGACAACAAACAAGCCTCCGCCATTTGGAAGGAATTTGAAAATTTAAAAAAAATTCCGAAAACTGACACTTAAATGAAAACCGTTATATGGTGACTATACGTGGACGTAAATCTGCTTACGACAGCTTACGATTTTTTTTTGCCATAGGCTGTAGTACCCATAAAGATCTTCTAATACGAAATTCGAAGTAATTGCGGTAAATAATGTCGCTAATATCATTAAAATACCGAATATCGGGAGGTACTGTTATATGGGGGCTACACGAAGACGTGGACCTGCTTACGATTTTTTTTTGCCACAGGCTGTAGTAACCACTACGAACTTCAAATACGAAATTTAAAATAATTTCGGTTAATGATGTTGTGGAAATCGTCAAAATACCGAATATCGGGAGGTACTTTATATGGGGGCTATACGAAGTCGTGGACCTGCATACAAAAATTTTTGCCATAGGTTGTGGTACCTATTAAGATCTTCCAATTCGAAATTTGAAACAGTTCCAGTGAATAATATCGCAAAAATCATGAAAATACCGAATATCGGAAGGTGACGTTATATGGGGGCTTAACGAAGACGTAGACCTACATACGAAATTTTTTGCCATAGGTTGTAGTGCCCACTAAGATCTCCCAATATGAAATATGAAACGAATCCGGTAAATAATGTCGCTAAAATCATGAAAATACCGAATATTGGGAGGTACCGGTATATGGGGACTATACGAAGACGTGGACCTGCATACAAAAATTTTTGCCATAGGTTGTAGTGCCCACTAAGATCTTCCAGTACGAAATTTGAAACGATTCCGGTGCATAATGTTGTGGAAATCATCAAAATATCGAATATACGGAGGTAGCGTTATATGGGGACTATACGAAGACGTGGACCTGCATACAAAAATTTTTGCCATAGGTTGTAGTACCCATTACGAACTTTAAATTCGAAATTTGAAATAATTCCGGTAAATAATGTCGCTAAAATCATGAAATTCCGAATATCGGGAGGTACCGTTATATGGGGGCTATACGAATATGTGGACCTTCATACGGAATGTTTTGCCGTAGGTTGTAGTGCCCATTACAAACTTCAAATACGAAATTTGAAACAGTTCCAGTGAATAATGTTGCTGAAATCATCAAAATACCGAATATCGGGGGGTACCTTTATATGGGGGCTATACGAAGACGTGGACCTGCAAACCAAATTTTTTGCCATAGGCTGTAGTATCAATTTCGAACTTCAAATACCAAATTTGAAACAATTCCAGTGAATAATGTCGCAAAAATCATGAAAATTCCGAATATCGGGGGTAACGTTATATGGGGGCTATAGGAAGACTTGGACCTGCATACAAAAATTTTCGTCAGAGGCTGTAGTACCCGTTACGAACTTTAAATATGAAATTCGAAATAATTCCGGTAAATAATGTCGCAAAAAACATGAAAATACCGAATATTGGGAGGTACCGTTATATGTAGGCTATACGAAGACTTGGACCTGCATACAAAAATTGTTGTCATAGGTTGTAGTACCCACTAAGAACTTTAAATACGAAATTTGAAATAATTCCGGTTAATGATGTTGTGGAAATCATCAAAATACCGAATATCGGGAGGTACTTTATATGGGGGCTATACGAAGTTGTGGACCTGCATACGATTTTTTTGCCATAGGTTGTAGTACCCATTACGAACTTTAAATACGAAATTTGAAATAATTCCGATAAATAATGTCGCTAAAATCATCCAGATATCGAATATCGGAAGGTACTGTTATATGGGGGCTATAAGAAGACGTGGACCTGCATACAAATATTTTTGTCATAGGCTGTAGTATCAATTTCGAACTTCAAATACCAAATTTGAAACAATTCCAGTGAATAATATCGCAAAAATCATGAAAATACCGAATATCGGAAGGTGACGTTATACGGGGCTTAACGAAGACGTAGACCTACATACGAAATTTTTTGCCATAGGTTGTAGTGCCCACTAAGATCTTCCAATACGAAATTTGAAACAATTCCGCTAAATAATGTCGTTAAAATCATGAAAATATAGAATATCGGGAGGTGTCGTTATATGGGGGCTATACGAAGACCTTGACTTGCATAAGAAATTTTTTGCCATAGGTTGTAGTGCCCACTAAGATCTTCCAATACGAAATTTGAAACGATTCCGGTAAATAATGTCGCAAAAATCATGAAAATACCGAATATCGGGAGGTATCGTTATATGGGGGCTATAGGAAGACTTGGACCTGCATACAAAAATTTTCGTCAGAGGCTGTAGTACCCGTTACGAACTTTAAATATGAAATTCGAAATAATTCCGGTAAATAATGTCGCTAAAATCATGAAAATTCCGAATATCGGGAGGTACCGTTACATGGGGGCTATACGAATACGTAGACCTTCATACGGAATTTTTTGCCATAGGTTGTTGTGCCCATTACGAACTTCAAATACGAAATTTGAAACGATTCCGGTGAAAAATGTTGCGGAAATCATCAAAAAACCGATTATCGGGAGATACCGTTATATGGGGCTACACGAAGTCGTGGACCTGCATACGATTTTTTTTTTGCCATAGGTTGTGGTACCTATAAAGATCTTCTAATTCGAAATTTGAAATGATTCCGGTGAAAAATGTCGCAAAAATCATGAAAATATCGAATATCGGGAGGTAACGTCATATGGGGGCTATACGAAGGTGTGGGTCTGCATACGAAATTTTTTGCAATAGGTTGTAGTGCCTATTACGAACTTCAAATACGATATTTGAAATAATTCCGATAAATAATGTCGCTAAAATCATCCAAATATCGAATATCGGAAGGTACTGTTATATGGGGGCTATAAGAAGACGTGGACCTGCATACACAAATTTTTGTCATAGGTTGTAGTGCCCACTAAGATCTTCAAATACGAAATTTGAAAGGATTCCGCTAAATTATGTCGCTAATATCAAGAAAATACCGAATATCGGGAGGTACCCATTGCGAACTTTAAATATGAAATTTGAAATAATTCCGGTAAATTGTGTCGCTAAAATCATGAAAATACCGAATATCGGAAGGTACCGTCATATGGGGGCTATACGAAAACGTGGACCGACATGGCCCATTTACGAACTTAACCTGCCTACTGGTAAACTATGCATGTATACAAAATTTTAGCCTTCTATCTCAATTCGTTCGAAAGATAGCGGGATTACAACAGACAGACGGACAGAGAGACAGACTGATGGACAGAAAAACAAACAGACGGACATCGCTAGATCGTCTTAGAATTTCACGCTGATCCAGAATATATATACTTTGTAGGGTCTATTATGAATATTCCGTCTAATATACGCTCCATTGAATAGTGGAGGGTAAAAAAATCGTAGATTTTTTACGAATATTTTGAACCACATTCCCGATGTTATTTTTTTAACCACATCTTGTTCCCATTTCTCCTTTTTTCGAAATATCAGCAAAGTATTTCACGTACGTTCAGTAACTCAGGGTGATGTTATTAGAGCCGATGCCAAAGAGATACCGCGCATATTCCAATTATTATACGCCGGCGAGGGTGAGGCCCGCAGACCCGATGAACAGCAACAATTGGATATGAGTATGATAAGGGGTGGTACAGGAGACGAAAGACCAGGATCCATAATCCATAAAGGTATACTCTTGATAAAATCTCTCCCCTTACCCATTAAAAAACCTTTCTGTCCCTGCTCTCTCCTCTAGGCCATGAATTTGTGCATATAACCTATCATATGCCAACAGCTTGTGAAGTATGTCCCAAACCTTTGTGGCACATGTTTAAGCCGCCGGCGGCGTATGAATGCAAAAGGTAAGTGAAAATTAATTCCGCAAAAAATTCCATTTTTTTATTGGACGAATATTATTTTTCTTGGAATTGCAGATGCCGCAACAAAATCCACAAGGAACATGTCGACAACAATGATCCTTTGGCTCCATGCAAGCTACACCATGATCCTCATAGTGCCAGAGAAATGCTCCTATTGGCCTCAACGCCCGACGAACAAAATCTCTGGGTATCACGTCTCTCTAAACGTATCCAAAAATGTGGATATAAGGCAAATTCCTCATCAAATAATAATAGCAATAATTCAGATGGTAGTAAAATATCACCAAGGTAAGTTGAATGTTCGTTTTTTTTTTTTTTTTTTTGGAAATTTCGTAATTTTTATGTGGGGTTCTAATTTTGTTTTTGTTTAATAACAATTGTCTGTGTTTTGTAAATAATTCAATGGGAATTTCTATTTTTTTTGGCTTTTTAATTTTATTTATTTTTTCTGTGAAGAAAGGAGAATTAAACCACATTTTTGAAACCCGAAATATATCGTTACTTACCCTCACAAAAATCAACTCTTGATAGAATATCTCTCACAGAAATTTTATAAATAAATTACCGTCCAAAAATATTTTATATAGATACGGCCGTTTGTAATGTCATATCGATTAAAGGGTAGCCCATAAATCGTCTATTGATAGAATATTTTTCACGTATGTATGTGTGTAGGAGACTATTTTAAGGATGTTTATATATATATGGGCAGTGTTGGCTTTTTTTTGTGATACCGTTGCTATTTTTTGTTTGCAATTAGTAAGGCTTAACCTATTTATTGTTTTTAGAAGTTCGTTTGTAAAATTTAGAAGACAAGCCGAAGAAATTGTTATATTCTTTGGTTCCTCTCATTGACACATTAACAAAGTTCAAAGGGCCGCATCCCTACTAATAATGGGTGCCTTCAGGAGCACGCCTCAAGCAGCACAGGATACTCAACTGGACTTAAGTCCATGTGGAGGAACAGGCATTCAGGAGTGCTCTTCGACTTAGAGAACTAAACGAATGGTGCAGTCAACCCTTTGGACATTCTGCGATTCTAAGACGTATAAGGAATGTAGGAGTAATAGCCAATGCAAGTGACTATATTTCACCTCGGTTGAGCTTCTACCGACCTGACATACACATACCTGATAGAGACGCCTGGGCCCACAACAACCCACCTTTCCGCGGCATAGCTGTTTATACCGACGGTTCAAAGATGGAGTGTGGTACGGGAGCTGGTGTCCTTCTGTGATACCCTTAATGTTCGTGAATCGTACAAGCTTGGAAACAACTGTAGCGTATTTCAGGCGGAAATCTTTGCAATAAAAAAGGCCACAGACCTGCTGGTCACGAGGAACACTGAGGTCAGCGGTCCGGTGACTATATATGTCGATAGTCAAGCGGCACTGAAGGCCTTAAATTCCTTTACTATGAAGTCTAGGGCTGTTTTGAACTGCAGGAAAGCCTTGGAAAACTCTGGGTTGTCCATCAAGCTCTGTTGGGTTCCTGGCCATTATAACATTCCAGGTAACGAGACTGCAGACGACTTAGCTAGGCTAGGATCCGAATCAACTACATTTGAAGTAGACAACTCGGTTAAACCACCACTGTGCCATTTCTTACAGGTCATTCATAGACATTACTCTAAGAGAATCCAACAAAAATTGCTGGACGAAATGGGATGCACCATCTCCAAAAGAATCTGGCTCTCAGGGAAGGGAACAAGGTCGCTGCTGTCATTGTCGAAACCTGATCTAAAACTTGTGGTGGGTATCATCACAGGGCATTGTAAGGTGAGGGCTATGACCTCGAAATGGGACAGCGACGACATTGACTACTGTAGGATTTGTCAAGATGAAGAAGAAATCGAAACAGTGGAACACTTGCCCTGCCACTTCCTAGCACTCTTTAATGTGAGACACAGACTAGTGGGAGAACTATTGTCACATGATCTGTCTTCTTTTTCTAACACCGACCCTATAGTAATCCTTCAATTATCCAGAAGATTCAAGTGGCTAAAGACGACACGGCAAACTCCTCAGCCGAAGATCACATTCTATAACTTAACATTCTTCTAGGATGAACACAATGGACCTATAGGTCTCCGAGTGGAGCGGTTGTCACATGGTAACCGCACGTTCTTTAACCTAACCTAACCTTGGTTCCTCTCCCATTGGGGAGGTCTTTTATAACAACTCCTGGGGAGAATATTCCCAGACAAAAACTAAGGGAATTTATGAGGATTGGTGGATCTTTTCGAACATACTTAATAATCGTTTTCATACCTTCAGTCATATGGCTAGAGAGGGTATATATCATTTGATACGGTCAAAACATGCCTCATCGAAATAATTGTTTTAAACCCTAGGTCTCTTTGGACCAAATCCGTTTCAGGACATTTGGAGTCGATCTAGCGATGTCCGTCGGTCCGTCCGTCTATCTGGCTGGCTGGTGCGCACGATAACACTCGAAGGGAGTATCCGATTTGATCGAATTCGGAGATGGACAAAATCGGTCCACTCCTTCTGTTACCTCCCCCACAAAATGTCAGCATTTTCAATGAAAATAATTGACATTTTCTCTGGTTTTTCGACCTTTTTCGATAGTTAATAAAAACAATTATTTGAGCTTGAGCTTGACCTCAAGCTCAAATAATTGTTTTTATTAACTATTGAAAATAATTGACCGCATAGAACAAGAATGAATCATCCAATTAGGTGTAACGTTTGCAAATCCTAATATTTTTTGTTAGTGCTATGTCAGGTGCGAGAATCGACAATATCTGTCCACCACATCAAGTACCTCCCCCAAAAAGGATCAAATTTTCGAATAATTATGAACCTTTATAAATTGGGAAATAAGAGTCCAATTGTCTTCAAATTTCACACATCCCAATATTTTTGTTAAGAAAAGATCTGGTGTGAGAATGGAATATATCGGTCCACTGCTTTCGGTTCCTCCCCCCCATAGGGTCAAAATTTTGAATATCCATTAAGCTCATAAAACGCGAAATGAGCCTCTCAATCTTTTCAAATTTCTCACATCCAAAAACTTATACTAAACCAAGATCTGGTATGAAGATGGTAGATATCGGACCACTCGTTCTGAAACCTTCCCAACATAGGGTCAAAATTTTTAATAATTATAACATTTATAAAATTTGAAGTATGTGTCCGAATATCTTCAGCTTTCGCACATTTCAGTATTTCTACAAGATCTGATGGGAGGATGGGGTATATCGGTCCACTCCTCCTGGTACCTCCCCCACAAAATGTCAACATTTTCAGAAAGAAAATAATTTACTGCACAGAAAGAGAAAGGATAATCCGTTGTTGCTCCAACTTTGTAAATTCTAATATTTCCATTAGTGCTACGTTAGGTGCGAAAATGGACAATGTCGGTCCACTCCATCAAGTACCTACCCCACAAAGGGTTAAAATTTTGAATAATTACAACTCTTATAAAATGTGACGTAAGAGTCCGATTGTTTCCCAATTATACAGATCACAATATTTTTATTAATCCAAGGTCTGGTGTGAAGATGGAATATATCGGTCCACTCCTTCTTGTACCTCTCCTACAAAGGATAAAAATTTCGAATATCCGTGAAGCTCATAAAATGCGAAATGAACACCCGATTATATTTAGACATGGCACATTTAAATGTTTCCATTAACACAAGTTCTGATATGAAAATGGTAGAGATTGGACCATTGCAACTGGTACCTCCCCACAAAGGGTCAAATTTTGAATAACCAAAACCATTATAAAATCCGAAATAAGCAACCAAATTATACACATCACAATATTTTTATTTACCTATGGTCTGGTGTGAAGATGGAATATATCAGTCCACTCTTTCTCGTACCTCCCCCACAAAGGGTCCAAATTTTGAATATCCATGAAGCTCATAATACGTGAAATTAACATCAAATTCCATTCAGACTTGGTACATCTCAATATTTTTATCAACACAACACCTGTTTTAAAGATGGTAGAGATCGGACCATTTCTTCTGGTACCTCCCCAACAAAGGGTCAAAGTTTTGAATAACCAAAACGTTTACAAAATTCGAAATAAGCTTCCGGTTCCCTTCATATTTCAAACATCCTATTATTGCTACTAACACAAGCTATGCTCTGAAGATGGAATACATCGGTATACTCTTTCTGGTACCTCCCCCAGAATGAGTCAAAATTTTGAATATCCACGAAGCTCCCTATAAGCGAAATTCACATCCGATTCCATTCAGACTTGGTACATTTCAATATTTGTAACAACATAAGATCTGTTATAAATATCGTAAAGATCGGGCCATTTCATCTGGTACCTCCCCCACAAATGGTCAAAGTTTTGAATAACCAAAACGTTTGTAAAATCTGAAATAAGCAACCGGTTCCCTTCATATTTCACACGTCCCATTATTTCTTCCAACACAGGTCTTGTGTGAAGATCGAATATATCGGTGTCCTCCTTCTGGTACCTCCCCCACAAAATTTTGAATATCCACGAAGCTCATAAAAAGCGAAATTAACATCCAATACCATTCAGACTTTGCACATCTGAATATTTCTAACGACGCAAGATCTGTTATAAAGATCGGACCATTCCTTCTGGTACCTCTCCCACAAAGGGTCAAAGTTTTGAATAACCAAAACGATTAAAAAATCTGAAATAAGCAGCCGGTTCTCTTCAAATTATACACATCACAATATTTTTATTAACCAAAGGTCTGTTGTGAAATTGGGATATATCGGTCTAATCCTTCTGGTACCTCCCCCACATTTTTAAAAACCATGAAGCTGATAAAGCGCAGAATTAACATCCGATTCCATTCAGACTCAGACTCAGACATCTCAATATTACCATTAACACAAGATCTGTTAAACAGATGGTGAAGGTCGGACCATTTTTTCTGGTACCTCTCCCACAAAGGGTCGAAGTTTTAAATAACCAAAACTATTATGAAATCCGAAAAAAGCATCCAGTTCTCTTCATATTTCACACATTCCATTGCTTCTACTAACACAATATCTGCTGAGAAGATGGGATATATCGGACATTTTTGGGGATTTTGAGAACAACAGATTTGACCATGTTTCCAATTTGAGCAGTGTGGTGCTTTTTTTTGCTGCATTTGGTCACTTTCAATTTTTTTTTTGTTATCCTCGATTTTGCCTAAATATTGAATCAAGCTTAGATCATGTATAACAATGGAATATTTCGATCCCCTCCTTCGAGTATATTTCTAGGTAATGAAATTGTTTCCGATATCTGTGGTTTAATTCTCTTAGTTCACATCACATCAAAGTAAATACTCAAAACTATTTTCAAAATAATCATATTTCTGTGTCTCTTATATTTTTTTCTTTATTCTATACACAAAAAAAACAAAAACATATCATGATGCTTTTATATGTATGTATGTGTGTTGCGTTTATTTCATGGGTTTTATAAATTTAAAAAAACAAATCTAAAAATACAAAAACAACTACATTATATAATTGGTAATTTCATTTTCTTGTTATTTTAATATTGTATTTTTTTCCATTAATTTTTTTCTATTTCTGTTGCTGCTAAACATCACCTATACTCCCATAATGTGTGTGTGTGTGTATTGTAATGAAACTACCCTATAACGAACGCTCTTGCGCCCAACTTACAAAATGCCCCCGAAAAAAAATCAACTCTCTTCTCCTCCTATTCATCATATCAATGTCATCAAACATAATATTTAAATAATAAAAACACATCATAACACCATCCTCTTACTCGGGTCCTGAACGAAACAAAACTCAATCCAAACGACCATATGACCGCCCGATCGATCGACCATCACCATCCATACATCCAGCCAATCAACACGTTCCAATTACAAGCCATATGCAGTTAATGTACAAAGATCAGCTACGCTGCCAGCAAATTCATCATTAAAACAGTGATTCTATTTTATTTTTTAATTAATTTTTTTTATTAAAACTATAAATATAAATATTACTATTTACTATTATTATTATAATTGTATACGTGTGTGTGTGTTTCTTTTTTTTTATTAATTAATTTGTATTTTTAATTTCGCCTAAATTCCATTTATTTTTATTTCCACATTTTGCTGTAATATTTTTCTCTCTTAATTTTATTTTATTATTTAATTTTAATGTTAATACTTAATTTTTAAAACAAAATAATTTAAATTAAACAAAGAAAAGAAAAAGATGAAAAAAACAAACGATGATCTTTCTACCACTAAAACCTAACGCTGCTGTTTTGTAATATTTCTGTTTTTATTTTTATTTCTTTAGTTAATATATATATATTTTATACATATAAAAGAACATTTATTTTTAACAAAAAAAAAAAAAAAAACATTTTTTGTTTGTTTTTCATTTTTGCAAAGAAAAGAATGGGATTTTTTAATTTTTTTGTTTATTTTTTTTTTCGCCTTGTTGTTGTGCATGTTTTTCTTCCGAACTTTCCGATTATTTTTTTTAAGTTTGTTTAATTGTTTTTTTTTAACAACTACTGAATGCGAAACATTGCAATCCAGATTCGTTTGAAAATGTATTTTTTAACATTTGAAGAAGTCGATATAGTTCAATTTTTCGGTTTTTTCAAATTAGGTATTAGTTAAACATTAGATAATTAACATAAAAAGTTGCTAAAGAATATAAGTTTGTGATTAGAAAATAATGAGGAACATACTTATTCATTTCTTAAAACCTTAAATTCTCAAAAAAATATATGTATGACAAAGGTCAGGTTTCGGATAAATTGTTCACATACTATATAATAAGCTATCAGATATAGAATAAGAGACCAACACTTTATTTCCTAATTAATCATTAAACAGGGTGCCTTGATAAAATTTTGGTCACCTTTCAGAAATACCTCTTTTATGTCTCCATTTTCTGTGAAAATATATGAGGAAATGTTAAAAATTTAACTGTAAAAAGTTCGTAATTATACTCTCAGGCATATGGTCCAAAGAGACCTAGGGTATTAAAACGTTTAGCCCGTATGAAATGATATATACCCTCTATATATCATTTCATACGGGCTAAACGTTTTAAGACCCCAGGTCTCTTTGGACCAAATCCGTTTCAGGACATTTAGAGTCGATCTAGCGATGTTCGTCCGTCCATCTCTCTGTCTGTCTGGCTGGCTGGTGCGTACGATAATTCTCAAAGGGAGTATCCGATTTGATTCAAACTTGGTACATCGTAAATTATTGTTAAAATTAGATCGAGTTCGAAGGTGGACAATATAGGTCCACTCCTTCTGGCACCTCCCACAGAAAATGACAACATTTTAAAAGAAAATAATTTACTGCACAGAAAGTGAAAGGATAATCCGATTTTGCTCCAAATTTGCAAATCCTAATATTTGCATCCGTGCTAGGTCATGTGCGAAAATGGACATTATTGCTCCACTCCATCAAGTATCTCCCCCACAAACGGTCAAAATTTTGAATAATTATAATATTTATAAAATGTGATGTAAGTGTCTTCAAATTACACACATCATAATATTTTTAATAACTCATAGCCTGGGGTGAAGATGGTCAAAATTTGAATATTCATGAAGCTCATAAAACTCGAAATTAATATCCGATTTCATTCAGACTTGGCACATCTCAATATTTCCATAAATACAAGATCTGTTATAAATATGGTAGAGATCGGACCATTCCTTCAGGTACCTCCCCCACAAAGTTTCAATGTTTTGAATAACCAGAACGATTATAAAATCCGAAATAAGTATCCGGTTCTTTTCATATTTCACATATCTCATTATTTCTTTTATACAAGATCTGCCACTCCTTTTGGTACCTCCCCCACAAAGGGTCAAAATTTTAAATATCCATGAAGCTCATAAAACGCGAAGTTAGCATCCGATTCCATTCAGATTTGGTATATTTCAATATTTCCATCAACACAAGATTTTTTATAAATATACATACAAACATTTTTGCTAACACAAGATCTGTTTTGAAGGCGATACCACCTACCTCACGCATATTTCATATAAAGTGAAGGAAGTACCAATATAGTCCTAACCTGGCACGTTACAATATTTATATCATATTTAGTTAGGTCCGATTCGAAATGGACAATATGGGCCCATTCCTTCGAAACCTACTCCATAGAGGGTCAAACATTTGAATAATCATTACAGAAGTCAAAATATATTTAAATAATCGAACATTGGTTGGGGGTTTACATTTGTCGGCGACTGATACTTTTTAAATTTGGTCTGTTCCAGAACTGCAAGATTGTAAAAGTTTTTACTACGATAACCGATTTTCCCTTTATGATATCGAAGAAAATGGCAAAACTAGTAGATTCTTGCAGGTACTGGAACAGACCAATTGTTATTAAAAACTTACCACATCAGGACCCGAATCCATTGTTCAAATATATAATAAGCTGTCCGACATAGAATAAGAGGCTTACGATTTTTCTTGTATAGATCGATATTTATGATTTGTCCCATATTAATAAGGAAAGGGTTGCCTTGTTTGAGGTTTCAAAACCAGATGTCGAATAGGGTCACCTTTCGAAACACATTTATAGTGTTTTCATATGAATATCTATGAAAAGTTAGATATTCAAAATTTATCGATTTTTTTTTTTCGATTTCGAATTAAGGAATTTGGCCCAAGGCCGAGACGGAATTCTGAAATTAGTTGTTGGTGTGAGATATAGGGGGGTTAATATTATGTTAGTTTATCTACTATATAAAAGTTTTCATTATATTTTTACTACCTCCTATTATTCGTGGGAGACACCATCCATCTATCGGAAGTCAAGATAGAGTCACAATATTTAAAATAAATCAAATTTGCTATAGACATTTGTAGTACTTTTATATGTTTGGCCTTAAAGGGGAGCTTTATCGCCCTCGTCTCTATATAATAGTACCTATATACCTATATACCTGATTCCAGCCAATTTCCAAACTAGCGTGTTGCGTTGAGACATTTTTAAATACTGGTGAATAACTTCTCTCGCTACAAAACAAACTTCATTATAGGTTCAATATTGGATATAGACTACCTCTCGATTTGCTTTCCGACTCCTACTCCAATTCAACTCAAGGTCTTGTTATCAGTCCAGTCATGAATAACAATTTCGGGCAGAAATTCTCTCTTTTCCTTTTCATAACCTCCACCATTCTATGGAGGGTATATTAGCTTTGTCATTCCGTTTGTAACTCCTCGAAATATTCATAATAAACTCTATAAAGTATATATATTTTGGATCAGCATAAAGTTCTCGATTTAATCGATTTAGCAATGTCTGTCTATTGTAATCACGCTACCTTTCGAACGAATTGAGATAGAAGGCTAAAATTTTGCACACATGTGTATTTTGCTAGTATGCATGTTAGATTCTTGAATGGGTCATGTCGGTCCACGTTTTCGTATAGCCCCCATATAACGGTACCTCCGGATATTGGGTAATTTGATCATTTTAGCGACACCATTAGGCCGAATTGTCTCAAATCGTATTGGAGGTTTGTAATGGGTACTACAGCCTATGCCTAAAACTTTCGTATGCAGGTCCTCGTCTTCGTATATCCCCCATATAACGGTACCTCCCAATATTCGGTATTTTTATGTTTTTAGAGACATTATAGAACGGAATTGTTTTGAATTTGGCATAAAAACTTCACAATAGGTACTTAAGCTTATGACAAAAAATTGCGTGTGCAGGCCCACGTATTCATATAGCCCCATACAACGGCATCTACCATTATTCGGTATTTTGACGATTTTAGCGTCATTATTCACCGGAGTTGATGGATTTTTTACATTTTGTGACAGTGGATACAATAATTTAAAAGGTAGGGCTTAATTATTTTTTTTTTTCATGGGTTAAACATTTTCGTATTTGTCATTTGACATATTTACTAAGACATTTATAAGGGGGTTTCGGTATTATCACCTTTAGATTTATTTCCTTTAATTCGTCTAAATCTTTACAAATCATTTAATTCGGTGGTTAAGTGGATAAACATAGTACTTGGAATTTGAAAACCTCGACCCGCCTTGTCATGTCATTTGGGTGAATATCATATTATTCTCTCTTGTCCTTTGTCCCTTTAGATGGTATCGATTAAGAAGTGTGAATATGGGTTTTGGTTCAGTGTAAATTATAGAAATTAGTTTTGAGAGCTGGTCCTTTCGAATGTATACAAATCAATTTTTCAATCCTTTTTTGATTTTTAACTCATGTCCCGTCCGCAATCATTATTTGTATTGTTTGCTTTATTTTCTTTCTCTCTTCTTTTAATTTTTTGATACCCAATTTGTTTTTTTACCCAAATAACCCCTTAATTTAATGAACTTTACAGTTACAGGAGAAGTGTTTCCCATAACGTTACCTCGACCGCCCATAGACATCGTCCGATGACCCCAACCAAATCCATGCAAAAAATATTTCTGGAGACATTCTTTTGAGAAAGCAGGTCCTACATATATATGTAGCTTATAGCAAATTAAAGCAACGATTTTAGCAGCATTAAGAGGCTTAACACCATACACAGCATGTGCTTAAATGTTTTTCACTCTTTTACTCTCTTAGCTTTATAGCTTTATTTTTTTTATTCTTTCCACTCTCTCACTTTCTAAGACGTCTAGTCAAGAAATAAATACAGGGTACATCAACTGTTTTAAAGATTGAAACATTTTCAGCAGACAGCGACATTTTTTATTCATCCCAGAAGATTTTGAAAATTATAGTTTTTATCTTTGCATAAACATGCACATGTTCATAAGTTATATGCAATTTATTTTTGGAATAAATGCTTGCTTTTTTCACGTTCATTGTAAGCGCCACAGGGTTAATTTCAAAATTAAAGTATCTCCATTTTACGCCAATATTGTGATTTGGGAGGTCATAAATTTCATAAAATGGGATTATGCGACGTTGAGGTTTTTTTAAAAAAAGGTTTAATATTGGATATTCAAAAATTATTATCTATCGCGAGCTTCAGATACAAAATTTGAAACGATTCCGATGAAAAATAAAAAATGATAAAAATACTGAATATTGAGAGGTACCGCCATGTGTGGGCTATATATTTACAAGCAGGTTGGTAATGGAGAAGAAAAAAAAGATGTGTACGGAAACCCGTTTCAAAGCATTACGGAAGGTCAAAAGTCGCCCGAGCCATCTATATGATGCCCTACACCACCATGCGTATTTAGTAGAGCTCCCGTAACAAAAAGAGCTTGTGTTGGGAATTTATGTGAAGAAGATCATACTAACTGCCAACCTTATGTGA